TAATATGCTGTTGGCCAATCATATAAGCAGTGGCCTGGCCTGGTGCGCTTTGGTAGCGAGTCACTTCTCTTAGGGCTTCACCACTCTTATCCCAGGCGTAGTCTGCGAAAAATTTTAAGGCTTTTTGGCGGGAAAATCCTTGGTAGTGCAGACCAGAGTCAACAATTAACCGTAAGGCACGCCATACCTGTGGAGGAATAATTGAATTGAGGACGGGAATGTTTGCCATAACCACTGATTCACAACTTGAAGTGTGTCAACTATGTGTTAGGAATGTTGGAGTTATCAGGAACGTTCGTGATGATACAAGAACCAGGTGTTTTCGAAAGAGATCATATAGGAAGTTTGAGAACCCACTAAAGACTCTGTAAGGAACTTTGGAAAGGCCAACACGGGCTTGTGCCCTTTCTTTGCAGTGATCAAAACCTAAGCGCAGAACCTCTTGGAGACTGGTTGTTAAACGGGATGCCTGAAAATTTGTAATTAACGTATTTTTTTCTTTTAGTTAATAGGGTATCTAGAGAAATCCTTACCCCATTTTGTGCAGTGCGCAAATATTGCTACTAGAAATCGCAATAGACAGTACTGTCAGGGTGAGTTACTTCAATTTTTGTAAGTTTACAACTTGAACTTTTTTCTTCCCCTTTATTTATTTGTTTCTTTTATTTTTTTTTAATTTTCAATCAAAGGGTACTTCGTTTTTCGGAGATTCTTATACATTTTAATGCAGACAACTAGTTTTCTTCCCATTAGACGTAGAATCGCATCATTGAATAAATTCTCGCATTCCGATTTGTTAACGAAGCGAGGTATTTCGAGTCGAATTGCGAGTTGAAAACGAGGCTAAGTGATATTATTTCGCGTATACGTAAACAAACAACTATAACTAACGCTATTTTCTTTTTTATCTTGTTTTTATTCAATTATGTGATTCAAGGAAAATCCATTACTTGAATCATGAATTCCGCGTTAAACTAAAACGTTAAAACCACGTTAAAACCGATATCGCACGAATCGCTCCGCAATTCGTTCGACATCGGTATTCAGGTGCAACTTAATGCGGAATTTCACCGTCAAGTAATGAATTTTCATATAATATTATTGTCAGGGGTCCTTAAAATTTGACAGATTTAGCAAGGACAATCAAGCAGACACCTATTTACTTAAAAGTGCGAAGTACCTTTACCAGGGTGGTTTTTGTCTAGCGTACA